AGGAACAGGGATCCCCACAGTGCTGCTGCCTCCTGCACGTCGGGGTGACCTCCCGCAGCCCCCTGCTCTTGGGCTCTGTCTCTGCATCTGTCTGAACTTTCCAAGCCTGAGCCTTTCTTTAGCATGATATCATACAAACCCTTTGTGTTTCCCTATTGTTGCCACCACCCAACCGTCCCTCTTAGCCCCATCCCAGTTGGCTGTCCAGCACCTTCCCAGCATCCTTTCCATCCCCATCCAGTGAGTGGGATCAGCAGCACTGGGGAGTCCCAGTGAGCTGGGGGACAGCTGGGACATTGGTGCAGCCCAAATGTGGATCCACCGGGGATGCAGAAGGGAGCTGGACTCCTTGGTGGGACTGGAACCCTTGAACCACTCTATCCCTCTGGCAGTAGCACAGTTGTGCTAATTTTCTGGGGTCACAGTCCCCAGCCCCACACCAGGCTGTCTAAATGAGGATTTTGGGAGCAGGGCTGAGCCAAACAGTCTATCAGCAACTGCAGCCACTGGGCTCCGGCATGGGCTGGCCAACCGCCCACCCATCACAGCCTGGGACACGGTGATGGTTAAACCATGGTGCCTGCTTCTGGCAGCAGAAGCCCCTGTGAGGGCTGCAGGAGCAGGGAGAGGCAGAACAGCCCCTTCTCTGCCTCCTGTCCCTTCTCTGTGGCCATGGGATGGGAGCTGGGCAGCCAACTGGGATGTTGCTGAGAGGGAAGGTCGTGATGGTGGTAACAACAGGGAAACACAAAGGGTTTGTACAAAATTGTGCTAGAGAAAGGTTCGGGCTTTGAAAACTCAAGTAAATGCAAACAGTGTCCCTTCTCTGCCCCAGTGGCTGCTGCCCGCCACTTTCCCTTGTCTAGCTCCGCAGGGCTCCAGCTCCTGCCAGCTGCCCCATGGCTTCCTACATCAGCCACCAGCTACCCCCACACAGCCACACTCGATTTGGGTCATTTACCATGTGTGTGTTACTTATTCTGTGGTTTTTTCACACTTTTTTTCCCCCCAAGTCCATAATGATCCTGCCTGGCTGCCGCTGGCCTTCTCAACACTTAGCACCAACATCCTGATCCCGCAGGCTTCCTGCCTTTCTAATGGAACTTTAAATTAGTGAATTCATTTTCTCCATGACTTTGACAGTTGTGCTGGGAAGGGGCTGGGACCAGGGTCGTTCCAATGGAACAGGCATGTTGCAAAAGAGGAGGAACTATTTTGCTCCTAAGTATGAGAGCAACAAGGTACTATTGCACCAAACCCATTTCCAGCCTCCAGGGCATGGACACTGGGTGCAGGCAACGTGTTTCCTCATCAGCAGAAGAGCTGATCAATCACTGCCAGCTTCGTTAAGCACATCCCTGCTGCAGTGAGGAGGGAGGCAGGCTGGGAGCAGCTGTGGAAAAGGCTTAGGTACCTTCTGGGCTGATTAGTCCAGAAAAGATACGTCATCAAACAGCAAGAAAGTAAATGTCACAACATCTGCTCTCACACAATGTTACACACAAGCTGTACAGATTGAAATTATACTTAATGTAAAAAAAAAAAAAAAAAGGAACATCATGAATAAATAATCTCTCAGTAGACAGCTACTGAGAAAAACAAAAGGTTAAAAAAAATCTAGAGGGAAAAAAACCCCACCTTAATCTGGAAGGAGAAAAAACCTTGAAAAATAAAAGACTACGGCAAATTTCTGTCTCACACAGGAGGAGAACATCCTTGGAATACCAAGGAAATCAAGTCAACCCAGTGAAAGATGGGGGGATGTAAATAAAAGACTGTGCAGCTGAGGGTGTCCACACCTGCTGCTGTTCCTGGGCTCTGGCTTTGGGAAGGCAGATCACACTTGCTCCAACTCCATTAAGCACAAAGCCATGCACCAGAGTGCCCACAGCAAGAGCAAAAACCCTGAAGAAACCCTATGCTGCAGAACCTGCTTAAAATTAGTTCTGCAACTGCCTGTCCCACCCTGAAACACAACCCCAGGTGGAAGTGTAACGGCTTTTTTGTCTGGGTTTCTTTTCTGGTGGTTGTTTCTTTTTATACTGGACTCATGACAGACCCAGAACCTGGCAAATCCTCCCCCATTTCCCACCGTGACTTTGTGACCCAGGCAGCGGAGCGGGTCGCACGCTGCTGGGTGTGATGAAGAGGCAGGGGGGG